CTTTGATCATATCTGGACCTCAGGTACCATCGAAAACGATCGAAAACAGCCAAGGTGGTGCCAGTTCTCAAACCAGGGAAACCTAGAAATTAGCCTGATTCTTATCGCCCTATCTGCCTCACCTCCCATCTATGTAAAACTTTAGAAAGCATTATTAACAACAGGCTCAAACACCTCATATATACTAAAAATCTAATTAAGGAGGACCAGAGCGGCTTTACTCCAAACAGGCAAACTTTAGACCATATTTTACATTTGGAACAAGACATCAAGGTAGCCCATGCACAAAAACAATACACTATGGCCATCTTCATTGACTTTAGTAAAGCATTTGATATGGTTTGGCAAAACGGCCTCATACAAAAACTCCAAAAATATGCCATTAACGGCAGAATTCTAAATATCATCCACTCTTTCCTTAATAATAGACAGATAATCCTCAAATCTCACAACACCCTCTCGGACCCCCATCCCCTAGAACATGGGACCCCCCAGGGCAGCATATTATCACCAACACTTTTTAATTTCATGATCAACGACATATTCCCCGATAAATGGCCTGAAATTTCAAAAGCCAAATTTGCCGATGATATTTCTTTCTGGACTTCCTCCACTTCTGTCAAACAAGTCTCTACAAAATGCCAAAAAATGCTTAATCATATTCAAAATAACTAAACTCCATTAGGCAAATACATAACAAGTACTCCAAATCTCGCCCTGATCTCATTCATAATATCACAATCCAAACCGACTCACTTAAACCAGCAAATAAAAACATAACTTTCACCTGGATACCAGGCCATTCAAACATATTAGGAAACGACACAGCAGATACAGCAGCCAAATTAGCAACAACACACAAATCACCAAATATAAACTTTCATACATCCAAAACAGAAACTAAACAACTCATTAAATCAAATATTCTTCATACTGACTTTCAACATAACATAAACAACAACAAATCAACTTGGGTAACTTCCATTATAAAATCACCCTTAAGGAAAATCCCTACATTCTCAAACATTAAAAATATTGACACGGCCATAAACAGACTCATCACAGGCATCACAAACCTCAACCACACACTTTACAAACAAAATAGACATGCAGATGGACTATGCACACACTGTAATACCCAAGAAGACATAAATCACATACTCATACACTGCCAGCTACAAAAGACAAACATTAAGCAACTACAAAACAGCATTCCCTCTAAATATCACAATAACATCCCACTACTCCTCAACCCACACAACCCAACAAGTATCTTCAACGCCCTAACATTATTCCTACAAAACTCAAACCTTCTAAAAAGAATCTAAAACTCATTAAATAAGCTACAGCCAACTCTCTCACCTCCCACTTATTGCAACATCCAGGCCAGCCGTTCAAACCTCAGTTATCCATTCTGCCCCCCTACAACTTTAGACACGGCTCTCAATTTCATTCATCCATACTCTGCACACGACACGCTCGCTCTCCCCTCTCGCTAATGTAAACAACCCGTCACAAGCCCATACTGCCAAGGTCAAGGTCACTCGCCAACCAGCTCACTACCACCGCTTGCCCCTCAACCCGGCCTCTGCCTCATTGCCCCTCCCTTGCTCCCCTCATCAGCCACCCCCCGCCACCCCGTCCAACTTAACACCTTTTATTATTCATTCTTTTATATAGCCCCTTATATAACTTATGCAGCTTAACTGATATATTATATCTGCCCCTATGCTATACATGTTCAGTACTCACCCCACCCCACCCCATTCCCCACCCCTAGGCCCTCTCTTATGTCACCTATCGTTTATTTCAACTTTATCTCTTACTTATTAACAATCACTATTCCTATTTATCCCTCCTTTCTCCATTTTTTTAACTTGGCTTTTTATTATTTTTATCTCTATTTATGTTTATAAACGTTTTATATTCCATATTCAACTTAGGTTTAACGCCCCAGCATTTATATTTTCTTGGGTAAGGTGGTTTATCCCTTATTAACATTTATTATTTATTATATTAGCTCCCACCTACCCCGTCGGCGAAATTGGCTTACGCCAGAAGCCGACTTTAAACATTGAATTTCGTCGTCGTTGTAGCAGACGACAGTTCTGTGGCAGAAGCGTAGGCGAGTTCGGTTTCGGGTCGTTTCACCCGGGTTTTTTCATCCCAATTCCAAACCAGGTCAATTCATCCCATATTATATTAGGGGTTGTTTCAACCGTAATCAAGAGTTGTTTCACCCAATTAATTGAGTATACATCGAGAATAGTATTAATGCTTAAATCTGTTAATCCTAATAAAGCAATGTTTTTACAACAGTCAGGTAAATGCTACTGGGTCTGTGTTGAGATGGCACACAGGACTTAAGCTTATATCTCATCTTATCTGATCTCATCACGCTTAAAAGGTAAATGAACATTTAAATAAGTCAACATTGAGTTAGATATTACACTTGCATTTCTGCCATGGCGACTGCATGTTTGGAGATCTGCCTCAGCTGCCTCTGTCTGTCTGTCTGTCTGTCTGCAATATTCTGCATGTTAGTACACAGTGCCCTTATAAACCCATCCCTTAAATACTTAATACCCATTGATAAATAATGTTTAATTGATACCTTTTAAATATCCAGTGAGTAAATTTAATCTGTAAATTATTATAATTCGATAAACTGACTATTTACTTGTCTATCGTGTCTGTATAGGAATTCACCCGATCCAAAACAGCCAATTTAAACTGATGCAATTAATCAAATAATCTGAATATGATGTTTCGACACTATACATAGATGAATAAAATACTGAAACAATTTCATTGCCATTGATAATTATAATTATTATTTACTGGGATGAAACCGCCTGGGCAACCAGGCGGGAAACACAGCCCGGGGTGAGACTGTGCTGGGGTTCACATGAATGGTTGGCCTGACATCATATCGCCTTTACCTCATTTCGCCTACACCCTTATCAAAACAAATTTAGGGTTGACTGCACATCACGTAAATGCTGTTATACCTATAGAAATGTAGACTCTCCCACTAATGAGGTATTCTTCCACAAATGAAAATAAACTAGTGCACTGATGATTTATACTTTAAAAAGGTCATATATTCAACAAGTTAAAATTCAAATAACATCACCATGATCAGTCACACAAGTCAATTACATACATCATCATCATCAGTGATACATAATTCAGTCACAATATCATCACCATGACCAGTCACAAAGGTCAAGCATATGCATCATCATCATCAGTGATACGTAGCTCAGTCACAGAACAATTAATGTAATTTCACTAGTAATGTCCAACTGCATCTAGAAACTGCATCACAGTTTTTCGTCCAGTTGCAGGGTGTAGCTTAAGTCTCTCATTTCACGCATCTCTGTCCCTGTCAATACGTGCACGAGGTTTCACAGCACCACCAATACCTGTATGTCGTCTAGACGTTTATCTGCTGTCTTAATCTTCTTGATTTCTTTTATGAATTGGTAAATGTGGGGATGTGACCGGGGCATTCTCTTCTTTAGTCCATTGTGAATCCCCTCCAGGTGGTTGTTGGAGCGAGGTCCAGTGTTCTCGTGCTGGTTCCAGATATTACAGGGATATATATCTTGCGTCGTCTTCTACCAAGGTACTTGTTACATAGTCGTTGAATGTTGTTATATGTTGACCATCCGGAGCTTGCTCCATAACTACAACCCAAGCATCTTGGATTTGATCTAGTGGCAGTAGTGGCAAAGCTGCAACTTGACGCCACAAGGCTTGGGCATAGAGGAAAAAACAGCCCCGAACTGAGCTGCAAAGCAAGACCTTACAGCACTGATGACAGCCGATTCCAAATCTGTCTTGATCACATCTAGGGAGAGTTCTACACCAGCCCTTGCACTAACACTGTCCTTCAACAATCTAGAGAATCTAACATAAGTCTGCTTGAACTGGGAGCAGTGAAAATGCCACATGATGCATGCTGCCATCCACCAGACAATGAACAATGTACACCTGCAACCACAAGCTAGGGCAAACAAAGAAAGTGCCATCGGTAAACACTGGCAAAGGACGGCATGGTGGCTGCTATGACTTCGTCAGTTTGGTCGAGTTCAGCATTGTAGATCTGTATGGTTGATCAAAGAAAGAACATAAGCAAGTCATGTTTATACAATCAATACATTTTATATGTTTGACCCATAATTTGGGTTGTAGATCGGGCCATTAACATTACCGTAAGCCATTGGAAATGTTAATTTTGGGGTAGGTAAGTAGGGCAAGCCGACTGGTTTGCTGCAATACATTAGCTGTTGTTGAGTAGCAGATATCACAATCTCAGAAATCTTGTCTATGATCTTCTTATGGTATGAGTCATTTGCTAAGACCATCTTATTAACTTCCTTGTAAATATCCGGAATTTCTTTCGGCGTAGATTTGACTTGAATGTAGAAATATTTCTGACGTTCGTGACCTCGGAGAAAGTCAGTTAGCGCTAGCAGACGACTGATCATGTCAGGGCAGAGATGAATGACTGTAACAAGGGTACTTTCCACCATTTCCTTGAACTTCTCCACAAATGTAGATCCGATGCCATAATCTCCCCTCCCTTCCATGACGCACACGACCCCGCGGGTCTCCAAATCGACACACATACGATCATACTGTATTTCACACTCAACGTTCAGGCATGTCACTATATGAACCTTTGCGTCCAACATCTTGGTAATACAATCTGTATTCACACTGTTCACAACATTTTCTCTTCAGAGTAACAGCGTCTTGGTTCACCTTCTTCACGAGACACAAGGCGATTAATAAATAGATCTGAATGTCTACTACAGGATATTAGACTCATACATACAGGTCTTGAAGAAATGCGAAGCCACGACTCTTGGTTGTTCGTTTGTCAGCTTGTATCGCTTCAGTATGTCAGTATGTAGCCATGTCATCTGACTGTAACAATCTTACACATACTTCTAGTCTCTTAGAGAGAGAGAGAGAGACGGGAGACTAAGCTAGTCACGAAGATGGCAACAGAACAACTTACTACGCATGCGTAATCGTCCCGGATAACAATGACCCAGTGTCGACGGGGTATATACAGAAACGGAAGGCGGTGTCAGGTTCAGCAATGTTATCACTACACCAACGTGTTTTCTGAGAAACCGCTTGTAAGTTTATGATAAAAGAGCTCGTTGATGAAAGGAAAAGGACAGTTCTGGAACAGGAGCCGAACGAGCCCCTCTTTTGATTGGTCAATGAGAGTCACGTGACCACAATAGGCATCTTATATTGCATGTTGTGGTGCAATACCGAATCTATGTTTAGCCAGGGAAAGACCCGAGCTATAAATAGGTCAGCGTCTCGCTGTGTGACTCGCCCTTGTGATACAAGCCAATACATAGTATACGTTTTGTAACCAGAACTGGCTAGCCGTGACCGGATATAGCCACATGTTTTTTTTGTCTTTATATAAGAGGGTATTCCCCCCATACTCATATCATTTCACTCTTGTGAGCGAATCTAGACGGACGGTCCTGTCGTGTCTACACTCAATCTTACGACGCTGTTCACAAGACAGGGAACTTTCTTAAAGGTAAATGGTTCAATATATAGTTAGCTGGAAAATATAAATATTAGAAGTTACATATTTTTTGAATTTTTCTTCACATTTTGAAATGTCAACTATTATATCCAATCCCGAATATAACTAATATGGATAGTGTTGTAAGTTTGTTTTATCTGATTCAACTATCAACATATTGGAGTTTATTTGATTTTAACATCTACACTATTCGGTTCTTGTTTTTTTGTTATTCAGAATGGAGGAGAGGCAACGTGTTCTAGACTCTGTACAGTCCTGCATGAACTTGAGACATAGGCAACGGCCAATAGCTGTCCAAATGACCCGTCTGTGAACTTAAAACGTATCAATCTATTAGCAAACAGGTTATACAACAACTGCAAGAATACATCCACATCACTGACTCACACATGTGACAACTGTAACAAATCTTTTACAAGCAAAAGGAATCTTCTTCGACATACACGAACCGTACATGGAAATGAGAAAATATCATGTGCGCAGTGTGGACACTCGTTTTCTCGCATGGATAACTACAAAGCGCACACTTGTAAACCGAGAGGGAAGCGGTCGGCTGAGACTGAAGTAGGTCATGCTCGGGTTAAGCGTGTCTGCCTTCAACCACTAAACTCGGTGAATAACGTGGCCGTTGCGCGATATGAGACCTGCAACTTTTGTGGGCATCATAAGTGTTTACTACCTGGAAAGCGCTTCTGTCAGGAATGTTCATACAAAGGTCGAGAGTGTAAACAGTGTCACCGGCCTCTCCCCGAACGTTTCTTGAGCCGACGCGTAGAACAGTGTGACAGCTGTGTAAGAAAGGAGAGAGAGGTATGAGGCGAGACGAAACCAGGCCGGGGCAGGGCAAGTTAGGGCGCTGGAGGGTGCTGTGACAACAACAACACTGACGCCAACAGTATCGAACAATCTTGATATATTGCAGTTTTTTGCAGATGAACAGACAAATATTGAGTCACTGTTACATGATTTCTTAAAGGAGAAAAAGGGTATGAAATGGTTCCTAACTTTAAGACTTAAATTTATAAAATATAATGAAAGCAATGAAAGCATTTTGACTGAACCTGTGTTAAGGAGCACAAATCATGTCACCACTATCGAATCTCAGTTAGCTGAACAAATAGCTGAAGCCTACCAGAAGTTGTATACCTCCATGCAAGAGTTTCAAGCTGAGGGTAGTGGGTGGATTCTAGATGAAATTGTACAATTGGAAGTCAATACAGCTGAGCATACACCGTTATCAGCAAGTAGCTACATTCCTCTCCCCAAATACCTTGCTGATACAAAAGCTATCCTAAACATTCATAACGAGGATAGTAAGTGTTTTATGTGGTCTGTGTTGGCAGCTCTACACCCGGTCAGACACAATCCTCATAGGGTTAGTCACTATATTCCACATGAATCTGAGTTGGACCTTAGTGAATTAGATATGCCAATTTCTTTGTCGCAAATATCAAGGTTTGAAAAGTTAAAACAGATTTGCGTTAATGTTTTTGGGTATGAAGGAGGTGAGGGCGTATTCACTTTACGTGTTAGCACAGTTAAATCTCCCATCAATGTTGATTTACTGCTCATAGGTCAAAATGACAAGAGATTTTTTTGACTGATTAGAAATTTCAGCAGATAAATGGGGGATCGAACCAAACATGAGGGGGCAAGATTTTATTGTAGACGATGTCTTCATGGCTTTAGCAGAAAGGATTTGTTAGATGACCACCTACCTTACTGTTCAAATTATTCGATGCAAAGGATAAGACTGCCAGAGAAAGAGGAAGAAACATGGGTAAACTTCAAGAGCATTCAGAAACAGCTTGAAGTACCTTACATCATATATGCTGATTTTGAGTCCATTACACGTAAAGTGAGTGGTTGTAGTCCACAGCCTGGCACATCCTACACTTCATGCTATCAAAAACATGTGCCCTCTGGGTTCTGTTACAAAGTTGTCAGTTCTCATACTCCGTATAGTAAACCTGCTGTTGTTTATAGAGGCCCTAATGTCATTTCACATTTCATTGACTGTTTGCTTAAAGAAGGAAAAGACATTGGGGATAAATTGAAAGTAGTGGAACCAATGCAGTTAAGTGAAGCCGATGAGAAAGCATTTCAAAAGGCAAACATATGTCATATATGTTCTAAACCCTTCACTGAGCAAGCATGGAAAGTCCGCGACCATGATCATTTGGCTCCGGGATATAATTATCGTGGAGCTGCTCATCAAAACTGCAATCTGCAATATCAGTTTACAAAAAAGAAGGAGAAGCAAAATGAATATGATGATTTTTTCATTCCTGTAGTATTTCATAATTTGAGAGGTTATGACAGTCATCTCCTTCTAAAATATTTAGACAGAACACTGAAACAAAAACTTCAATGTCTGGCAAATAACATGGTGAAGTATATTTCCTTCTCGGTAGGGAAATTACGATTCATTGATTCTCTTCAGTTTTTAAATGCATCGCTTGATACATTAGTTGAAAACCTCCGAGCTGAGGGTACTTCGAAGTTCAAACAACTGAAGCTGGAGTTTCCTAATGACCAACAGAACATATTACTCCTGCGAATGGGAATATATCCTTATGATTTCATGGACGATGAATCAAAATTTGATATGACTCACCTTCCGTCAAAGGAGGACTTTTATAACAAACTGACAGATAGTTCTATATCAGAGGATGACTATTCATATGCTCAAAACGTTTGGAAAATCTTCAATTTAAAGTCAATGGGTGAGTACCATGACTTGTACATGAAAACAGATGTATGTTGCTAGCTGATGTCTTTCAAAATTTTAGACAAACCTCCTTAGAAAACTATCAGTTAGACCCCGCTCATTATTATACATTGCCGGGCCTTGGGTGGGATGCCATGCTGAAAATGGGGAGTGTACATCTAGAACTGCTCACTGATTTAGATATGCATCTCATGATTGAGGCAGGTCTGAGAGGGGGTATTTCCATGATTTCCAAAAGGTATGCTAAGGGGAATCACCCTGACCTGCAGACCTTCCAGCCTGACAACCCAACGTCCTATATCATGTACTGGGACGCCTATAATCTGTACGGTCATGCTATGTCCCTATGTGACTTTGAGTGGATGAATTCACAGGACATAGAGAAGTTAGATGTACGAAGCATACCAGCTGATTCTAAAACTTGCTATATTCTGGAAGTTGATCTCGACTATCCCAGGGAATTACCTGATAGCCACAGTGACCATCCATTAGTCCCTGAATCTATGTTGATCAGCAATGACATGCTCTCTCCCCATTCAAAGGAGTTGAGAAATAAGCTTTGTATCAAAGGCCAACCAGTAAGAAAATTAGTTCCAAACTTAAATGATAAGACAAAGTATGTGCTACACTACAGAAATCTACAGTTTTATTTAAGTCAGGGTATGAAGTTAGTCAAAATCCGGAGAGTCATTATGTTTAAACAATCTCCATGGCTGAAGCCTTACATAGACTTCAACACTCAAAAACGCAAGGATGCTAAAAATGAAACAGAAAAAGCCTTTTTCAAGTTAATGAACAACTCTTGTTTTGGAAGATCGATGATGAACGTGAGAAAACATGTCAATGTTGAACTTGTGAATCCTGCTCAACGATTCAGAAAACTTTGTGCAAAACCAACATTCGAAGCCTTCAAAATTTTCAATGATGATCTAGCAGCCGTCCATCTAAAGAAACCAAGCTTATTCTTAAACCAACCTCTGATTGCAGGGTTTTCTATTTTGGAGATGTCAAAGATAGTGATGTATGATTTTGATAATAATTTTATCAAGCAAAAGTAAGGTGAAAAGGCTCAACTGTGCTTCACAGACACGGATTCGCTGTGTTATGAAATCGAAACAGCTGACATTTACGCTGACATGGCAAATCATGCTGACTTATTTGACACCAGCAACTATGACCCTGTCCATCCTCTCTACTCTAAAGCAAATTCCAAAGTTTTGGGGAAATTCAAAGATGAAGTAGGTGGTGTAGCCATTGAGGAGTTTGTTGGCCTGCGTCTAAAAATGTATTCCCTAATGTATAAGGGAAAGGAAAAGAAAACAGCAAAGGGGGTCGCTAACGCAGTCATTAAGAAACAGCTGAGGCATAAATGTACGAGCAATGCTTGACTGAGCATTGTCAAATGAGGTACAACATGACTCAGATTCAAAGCCAAACTCACCAACTCTATACTGTGACCATTAATAAAGTCAGTTTGAGCCCATTCGATGACAAACGCTTTGTCCTAGATGATGGGGTTCATACTTTAGCTCATGGTCACTACAAAACACAGAGGACGTTCAGTTATTGATGTGGAACCATTTCATACTGTTTTCTCTGTATATACTATTTGTTATGAGCAGCTTCAAACTTCATGTATACATGTATATTTATTGTGAATAGTTCCTAATAAATTCTCACATATCTGTGTATTATAGGTACAACTGAACATTTAGCGGATGATATAAATGTAACACCTCATACAAAATCAATGTAAATAGGGGGCTCACTTCTCTTAAACCTGAGCCTCTTGTGTTTGAATACGCTGATTTTATTGAATATGTATTGTTTAACTAATTCCAGAATATTTGTGTTGAGATGAATATGTACCATACTTATGTAGCACTAATTATTGTATGCATTTCAACACACAATTGGTTTTTGAAATAAAACTTGAACATCAACCTCAGTGCATTTGTTGTGTATCTGTGTAAAATCAAGTTGCTCCTGTACTTGATAACAATATGAAGCAAAACACACAAAAAGTTGATTCAATATTTATTTCCCTCCTTGTTTATAACATGATACTGGTCAAAGGATTGGAGGGTATCCCGACTGTATCTTACAATATAAGCATAAGCATTACATTATCTACATCAAGGAAAGGATTTATTCAGTGTCTGTCTCCTGATCACTGTCTGCATCACGATCAAGGTTCAAATCTTCAGCTTCTGATAGATCCACATGGGGGAGAATGTCCTTCACAGTGGGTTTCATCCACTTTAGTATTTTTCCATCAAGCTCACGGGTATCAATCTCAGGTTCCAGAGATCTCACTTTTTCCAATATCGGCTTGAAAAGTGGACCCTTTGCAAAGTAGCTGACAAATCTGATAGCTTGACTTAGTCGAAGCAAGTAGGTAGTCTCCCAACATTTTCGTATTTGTTTTTCAATCCACTTTGCATTTCTTCCTCAAACGTCTCCTTTTTCTTCGCAATTTCTTGTTTACACATTTGTAGTGTGTGCTCCCATTCCTTGTCTACCTCACTGACCTCAGGTGTTACCACAGGAGAAAAGACGTCACTGTTCTCTTGATTGAGAATAGGCAAGTCATGTTTAGGTCGCTTCCTCAGAGGCTCTCCACCATTCTCAGGACACCAAGTTCTCACATGCCGTTGAAGGTCATGGTTGTTTTCAAATAAAATCCACACTCATCGAGATGATAACCCTTTGGGTGTCTGGAGTCAAATAATACAATGGCTCAAGTTGCATCACTTTTATAGACCTGCTCTCAGTCTCGATTTGTCTTGATTCTGGTGGGAGATTTGATATTTGTCCTTCTGTTATCTCTGGGACTGAGGGCGTTTTCGCTTTGGTAAGTACATTAGGTTGTAATCTTTCTGATTCAAGGCTGGTGGGTCGTAGTTCGATAGTCAGATTACCGTATGTTTTTTGGACAGCTGTCTCATACACTGACATAAACCTATCAGCATTGTTGGGGTAGATACGTCTGGCAAACAATTGGACTTGATGTCTATCCACAGGGGAGTTGAATAAAGTCACATAGTAGGAATTCAGTGCGATGTCACGTGACTCCCTGCCTCTTGGAAACAGGTTTTGTAACAGCAAAAATATAATGACATTCTTGTGATGGGAGGTACGTGTGAATAGCTGACTGACACGTTTATCATCTTTGACCTCAGACATCAAATCATCTAGCACAATCATGTTGTTGTTCGTGGCATCGAAGTACTGTTCATCCTGTAGATTATATGGAAGCCCCTTGACAAACTGAATATGAGGAATAGTTTTGGCAATAGTGTTGTAAATGGGTTGCCATTCAGTATAGCACCATACGATGTGATTAGGTGTTGGCTTGATGAGTCCTTCCAGCAAAATGTTATGTATGAACAAAGTTCTCCCAGAGCCACTCGGGCCGACGATAACAGCATTGGAAGGGATGGTATACTTGAATGGTTCAGGAATAAAGTGTGACTGCGAATGCGGCGGCGGCGGCGGAGGCGGAGGAGGAGGAGGAGTAAATTGTGGAGACAGTAACGGCGGTGAAGTGATTTGAGAAGGTTGTGGATATACTTCACTGACTTTGATAAGGGATGTTTGTTTCTCCTGTGACGTAACATCACATCTTTTCTTGAAAATACATTCCCACAGTCAGGACATGATGTTGACTCCATGGTTGACAGACAGCAAAATGAGAGTACACACTTCTGTTTTTGCATTTTATACCTTCTGGAGATCAGTCTCATAGCCCATCCATTTGACAAAGACTTCCCTCCGTCCCTTCTTCTTTCTGGTCTTCAAGACTTTCTCCACATGCCATGTACTGTCACCATGCTTATCCACTTTCTGAAGTTCATTTGCATAAAATGTACCAGTGATTGGATCCTCAGCCATGTCCTTGACTTTATAGACTGGTATCCCATCCCTGTAGTATCGTCTGCTGATAATGAATATTTCCTCTGTCCATTTCTCCTGATAGTCCCGTTGAAAAGCATGTCTTAAATGTGACAGCCTTACTTGGTCTCCTACTTTAAATTTAAAGGCTTTCCTTCGGGTTACATGCCACTTCTCTGCTTTGGGTTTGACTCGTTTTATCAATGGGTCAATGTACTGTTCTCTCCAAACAAGAGATTCATTGTTTGCATCAATATCAGTGGGTGAACGTTCATTGAGTGATCTATGAGGTCTTTCGTTATAGTCTCCCACAAGACGTTTGTTTGAAAGTAAAGTATCTGTACATAGTCGTCTTGAGAGTTCGTATTACTCTCTCTGCATAATACGCCTTGGTTTCATTCTGTATGACATAGTAGGTAATACTTGAATGGTTCAGGAATAAAGTGTGACTGCGAATGCGGCGGCGGCGGAGGCGGAGGAGGAGGAGGAGGAGGAGTAAATTGTGGAGGCAGTAACGGCGGTGAAGTGATTTGAGAAGGTTGTGGATATACTTCACTGACTTTGATAAGGGATGTTTGTTTCTCCTGTGACGTAACATCACATCTTTTCTTGAAAATACATTCCCACAGTCAGGACATGATGTTGACTCCATGGTTGACAGACAGCAAAATGAGAGTACACACTTCTGTTTTTGCATTTTATACCTTCTGGAGATCAGTCTCATAGCCCATCCATTTGACAAAGACTTCCCTCCGTCCCTTCTTCTTTCTGGTCTTCAAGACTTTCTCCACATGCCATGTACTGTCACCATGCTTATCCACTTTCTGAAGTTCATTTGCATAAAATGTACCAGTGATTGGATCCTCAGCCATGTCCTTGACTTTATAGACTGGTATCCCATCCCTGTAGTATCGTCTGCTGATAATGAATATTTCCTCTGTCCATTTCTCCTGATAGTCCCGTTGAAAAGCATGTCTTAAATGTGACAGCCTTACTTGGTCTCCTACTTTAAATTTAAAGGCTTTCCTTCGGGTTACATGCCACTTCTCTGCTTTGGGTTTGACTCGTTTTATCAATGGGTCAATGTACTGTTCTCTCCAAACAAGAGATTCATTGTTTGCATCAATATCAGTGGGTGAACGTTCATTGAGTGATCTATGAGGTCTTTCGTTATAGTCTCCCACAAGACGTTTGTTTGAAAGTAAAGTATCTGTACATAGTCGTCTTGAGAGTTCGTATTACTCTCTCTGCATAATACGCCTTGGTTTCATTCTGTGTGACATAGTAGGTAATACCCTTGCTGGCTAAATATGATCTCACTTTCTTGTTATCAAATTCGCGACCTTTGTCAGATCTGATAATGTGTGGTAGAGTTACACGAGAAAATATCATCTTCATGGCTTTAATGATGGTGTCTGGAGTTTTATTCTTAAAGAACCACTAAACTTTGCTTTTTGTTACTCTTTTAACAATTATATATGAAAGATTTGTGGTTAGTCTTATGCGGAACACCAAATTTATTCTTTAAAAACTTGTGGTTAATTAATACCGAGCGATTAAAAGTGGCCAAAAAGTCGCCTGCTTCCCCCTCGCCCGCCAACGAAACCACAGACAGGTTATGTAACTCTGTCGCCAGAGCACTGCTGTGACGTCATATGAGGAACGATTTTCAGTTAGTTGTATAGAAAATGTGTAGCACGCTCATCATTTTGATGATTTCTCGACATCAACGACGACATGCCGAATCGTTGCTTTGTCGTCAATTGCTCCTAGAGGTCGGGCGACGGTGTCCCCATGCACAGATTTCCACAGGACCCGCAGTTCGTGCTAAATGGGTTATGTTTGTGAGTCTTGAAGCTGGCGTTGTGGAAGCCTGAAACGATATCTTACTTGTGTTCAGGTCGCTTCACGGAAGTTAAAGAATCAAAACTACTTACTAGTTGTAGTAAAATATGCATATGATTGATGACCATAAAGACTTTCTATGACACAACTTGTAACATAACGATTTCTTCCTCGGAAGTGAGGTTGTGGTCGAAGTAACAATAATATTGTAAGTAGTATTATATTGACACCCACCTCGCTGCCACGAAAGAAATTGTTATGTTATACGCTTTGTCATGCAAAATCCTATTGGCCACCAATGAAATACATATTTTACTACCAGTAGAAAGTAGTTTTGATTTTGTAACTCGGTGAAAACAAACCTAAATACCATTTATCCTCAGACTGGCGGATGTTCCCGACAGGGCGCCGCCATTTTAAAAAATAAAAAAATCTGTTAAAATTAATGAGATTATAGTTTGTTTTCATCAAGTTAGAAAATCAAGACTACTTTCTACTCGTAGCTAAATATGTATTGGAATCATAACCAAACGGATTTTGCATGACACAACTTATAACATAACGATTTGTTCCACGGAAGCGAGGTGGGGGTCGAAGTGACAATACTGCGCGATAAATTTCTTGCTACATTCCCATGGTTAATATGTAGATACTAGTCAATGTGCTTCTTTATATTTGGTCTTATAATCCTAATTAGTTTATTATCATACTTGTATGCATTTTGAAACTAAATAAAAAGCAGACGATCTGCTGATACTTATAGTGAATTTATAACAGAACTGTACTATCTAGACATTTTATAGTTTGCCAATGTGAATCATAATTCGCACACACACCCTAGTGCATGTTGTCTGTCTCATTACACTTCACGGCGAAAACAATGATTCTGTTGAATGCTACAACAAATGAATAAAAACAAAATGCAAATATTAAAATTAAAACAGATTAAAGTTATAGGAACAATATCAGGCCATTACCTTGTTCGAGGAATGTATCCATCAATATCCACAAAACTGTTCTAAATGATGTGTCTTTTAACAGTTTAATATACGAAAATTGATAAATCTTTTCAGGTATTGGTGTATAGTCTCATTGGTCACCCAAGATAGCACACCTGGCAACTAATTGCATAATGTCCGCCTTTCTTTAAAAACAGTAATTTAGTTAGCCAATAATAGGCAATCAATCAATGTATTGCCGGTTA